ACCCCTCGCCGTAAAACCTGTATACTCCCCAAAAAAGTAGAATATACATATATATATAAGTCATGCTCAGAAATATGTCATGTCAAATGCCTCGAATAAATGCAAGTGCTCAGGTAATGTCAAATCAATGCCATGTAATCTGTCAGCCGGAGTCACCTAACGTGACCTGTACGACTGAATCTAGAGCTCAGATCTCCATCTTACTAACTATACCTGCATACGAGTCGGAACCACCTAAAGTGGTTTGTACGATAGGATTGAGTGTAATATAAGTACGCTCAAGTGCTACGATCACGTGAAGGCTGGGCGAATAATCGCGGGTCACCAACGAGTCGGAACCACCTAAAGTGGTCTGTACGACAAGACTGTGCACCTAACTTAGATCCAAGATGAGCGTGTGGTGCGGGAGGTGAACATCACGTGAAGGACTGTGCCCAACTCTGGATGGGAGCACTAACACCGGGGGTGCAGGTTATGAGCTCTCTATGCATCTCAATCACTACTGAATATAAGCATAAACCATACTCACCTGGCACTTACTTGTGCGCCCGCAGCACCAACATACATACATACATACATACATACATACATACATACATACATACATACATATATATATATATATATATATATATATATATATATAAGCTACTAACAATGCATAAACAAACGGCAAACATGATGCATGGCATAAAAACGTATAAACGTTTCAATTCATTTTCTGGGAAAAACATAAGTATATAGGTATATACGGAAAACCAAAAGCCCACTCACTGGTATGTAGAAGGGTCGTAACCCCCTTGCCTCGAGTGACCGCGCTCGTCTTCGGGATAGGTCTCACCTATATGCGAAACAACTATAAAAACGTAAATTTTAAAGCGTATAACCAACATCACGAAATAACTTCTCATACAATGCTCAAATGGGGTGTATGAATACACCAACGTGATCTACTCAACCTCAGAAACATCCCCATATTTTTAGAAAAAATTTCCACCGCCGCACGCGCCCCCACGCGCAGGCAAGTGCCTGGCACACTGACGGCGTCAGGAATATTCCGTTAAAACTGACGGATTCCGTTAACGCCGTTAGGAATATTTCGTCCAAACTGACAGAATATTCCGTCATCTGACGGCGCCGGAAAATCGGGAAAACTTTAAAACCTTGTAACTTACTCGTTTTTCAACCAAATTTCACAAAATTGGTACCAAAATGAAGCTTACAACAAGAGGAACAAATCCATACCACTTTTAAGTACTAAAATCCACGAAATCTCGCTGGGAAAACACCACCACCTCCGGCCAACCTTGTAACTCACGATCCCGACGTCCAAAACCTTCAAACGAACCACCCCGAGCCTCCTACGGACCTCACCAAGCTTCCTACAAGCTTGAAATTCCAAAAAAACCAAGAATTAACGTGTGCATGAACAGTGACCAAATCGGGGTATCCCGAGTTCGACGTGAAAACGAAGATATCCTTACCTTAAATGGGTATGGTTGAACTCCTACGGACCTCACGAGCATGAATATGTAATTTGTTTCCTCGATCTGTGAAGGTTTGGATGGTTTTTGGGTGTGTCTGTACAAGAAGAATAGAAATGGGGGAGAGAGAGAGCTCGGGACAAGGATGCAGGACAGGGAGAAGGGTGAGGGGGGTGTGGGAGAGTGTGTGTGGTCCAAAACCAGCCAAGCAACACCCAAAAACAACCACACAACGAACCAACCATAATAGGGGTTAAAATCGTCATTTCACCCCTACGGTTCGAAAATCCGGAACGAGCTGTCACATTACTAGTATGATGTGACTTAGCTCAAATTTTATCGTATTTAGTATAATACGTATACAATGTAAATTTAAAATTGAAAGTGCAAATTGAAATAAGGGGCTAAGTTCAAAGAGATTTTTTAATGTATTTGGAACACGAAGTAAAACACCACTTGTTATTGTATAACTAGAAGGACATTTGAAAAGGAAAAAAAAATTCTCCAATTATATAACAACATGTCGTGTCCAGCCCCAAATTCAAAGTGCAAATTGAAATATGGGGCAAAGTTCATTGCCGTAAGCTTAAAGTTTCCAAAAAAATCAATTTCCACTTGCTAGTTGGCGCCTATTTTCAGTAAAAAATTCCACTTCCCCACTTGGACGAAGGTCCATTTTTAGACCTTGACAGAGATAAAAGTTGGGCCAAAATGTATCGACACCAGACCTTTGAAGAAACACAGGCACGTCAAGAGAAAGAGGTACAACATCAAACCTTGAATCTTTGATTGCCTTTTTAGTTGTCTTCTTTATTCCAAATGGTCGGTTTGAATGGGGCGGGACCTTTAAGGGAAAGAGGAAAATAATAATTAGTTGTAGGACTTATTTTACATAGAATTTCAACGATCTGAACTGTTTATTTTGCAAGTCTCGATTCATAAATCATCATTGAAAATTTTTAATTTAAACCAAAACCATTTGACTATTTAATAATCACAATGAAATTTAAAAAATAAACGGTTCGAATTATTGAAATTCGATGTGGTCTGAATCCCACAACTAATCTCCATTGTAAAAAAAAAAAAAAAGGGGAATGCCTTTCCTTAAAGATATTCTTTTTATTCTCTTCTATTTTCCCAAAAGCTTCGACGGGAACTAATATCTCACATTATCTAAACTAGTTAGTGCTGAGAGAAAAACTTGCGTAAAAATATTTGGTTACGTTATTCGTAGAATATATTTTATAAATCATGGAACATCATGTATTTTAATTTCATTTAAGAGTTCGCTTGGATGTGTTTTTAAACTAATTGAAAGAGTTTTTAGTGAAAATATTTTAAGAACCAATTTTAAGTAAAAATGAAAGTAAATAATGAAAAAACACTTAAAATAAGAAACACATAACTGGTGCTTCTTACAGAAAACATTTCAAATGCTTTTGAAACCCAAAAATATTTTTTTCTAAAAACGCTTTCAGTCGTCTTAAAAGCACATACAAACGAACCCTAAATCTTTGAATATGTACTTTATTTAATAATTGTTCTTGTTCAGCGCTACCAAATATTTTCTCAGAAATTAAATATTAAAACTCCATGTCAAACATCTATATTCGATTGCTGACAATTTGGGTCTTGTACTTCAAGAAGTGTTATATTATAGCATAGCTTTTTCACGGTCAAGATAACATACTATAATATATTATTAAGAGGATGGTTAAGATTGGATATTATTATAATAATTTAAGAATCGGAAAGTTTGAAACTATTACACTAACTTAGAAAATGTGGGGTTTTAAATTCGGAACACATGTGTTGAAACCCAACACCAATTATTTAGACCAAATTTGCAAAACATGTTATATGTCACCGATATAAAATAAGTACGTTAATCAATATTTAAGTAATAATTCAATCATTAGCATCAACATCATATGTTTTACAAAATTTAGTCTAAATAGTTAGTTTCATTACCCTTCCACTAAGATATTGGACAACGTACTTAAAAAATAAATAACTCATATTTATAAAGTGAACCTCACAAAAACTAAAATAGACGGTTTAAACTATTAAAATATACAAAGTATACCTCACAAAAAAATTGATGCCACCAATCCGCTCTTATATATATATTACACTAATTTTCACAAGCTTCAAAATTATCGGCTTTTTTGTTTTTTTTGTTTTAAGTATTCTTGAATGTATTACTCATCGGATGACAAAAAATTGACCATAGTAACGGTGACAATGATTTTTCAGTCCTCTGAAAACGCATTTGTACCAGGTGATCGTTTACTTTTATGCACATGAATAGAAACCGCATGCATCATGTGACAGTTGTATATATGTGTGGTACTTATATGACCAAGTCTTTTTTGCTTTGGTCGCCAGTTGCTACTTTTGCTGTTAATATGAAGATACTATTTAGATATGCACTAGGTCTACTTTTTTTTCTTGATAAAATGAGGAGAGAGAATTCTTGTCTGACTCTAATAATCCTTATCATAAGTTACAGTTTCAAAATGTAATGACTTTTTCTTTGAAAAACATATGAGGGTAATTATTATTCCCAATTGAAAGTAAAAGCTTTTGACCTTATGGAGAAAGAATTGAGATTTTTTCAGAATTTTAGTGTCTAGAGTAGAGCCTAAGGATCAAGAAATCTGAGCTGCTTGTGTAAAAGAGAAATCGAAGTCTTTGGTTTGTGTGAGGTGGATCATCGGAATAAGTTAATGGGGACAGTCCAATTCAATTCGAGTAGTTTGGATTGCCTAATCCTTAGGCTTTGACCAGTGAGATTCATAGTTGATCTTTGTCCGCGGGGAAGGCATGTGAAGGTAGGCGAAATTTTGACAAGACTGCTTGATTATGGCAGCTCTTATATTAGCATAATCAGCATGAGGTCGGGATCAGATCAAAACATAGAAAATTTCAAACGTTTATCAATAGTGTCCTACGATGAATTTCATCTATTTTACATCCGGAAGTTCTTCGATACTGTTGTTTTCCAAGGAGAATTGGTGCAAATTGATGAATTTATTTCCTTAACAATGTCCCAAGGAGAATTGGTGCAAATTGATGAATTTATTTCCTTAACAATGTCCCCTGAATAACGTGATCCAGTTCTCGTACAAAAGTTTTTCCCTATATGGAGGAGGAGAGGAGTTGAATTATGAGATTGGTCAAGTTGTGCGACTTTCATAGGCCCAATTAGGCAAAAATCTGGCTTGTATTCAACAGTCTTAAGATGTGAGGCAGATTACATGAACATCCTTTCTTTGGCTAAAAAACTCTCTTTCAACCGTCATACCATACGGCACCCAAGGACAATGTTCAAGTCAAACCTGTCCTCCTTCATAAATAATACAACTCAAAATTACTCTTTTATTATACTCATTAACTCTCTCTCTCTCTCTCCCCTCCTCCCCCCCCCCCCCCCCCCCCCCCCCCAAAAAAAAAAACCCACTCTCTCTGCACATTAAATTATCACCTCCACAGTTTCTGCCACAAAATTCCCAAATGAATCAAAACCTCTGCCTCTTCATCCTGATCTTCCTTCTCTCAGAAGCCCCAGCATTTGCAGTGGACTTTTACTACCAAAACTGCAGCGTCCCGATAACTTGTGGCCGCCAAAAAATCAGCTACCCGTTCTACATCCAAGGCAGGCAACAAGACTTCTGCGGCTACCCTGGTTTCCAGCTCTCCTGCCAGGGCGGCGCAGACGACGACGAAGAAGAAGCCTACCCACTTCTCCGGTTGTCTGGAGACGATTACATAATTCACAACATCAGTTACGAAAGCCAGACTCTTGTCGTCTCAAATGCTTTACTTTCGCACTACTTGGACAACTCTTCCTGCGCTAATCTCTCACTGATCCATAATTTAACGATCCCTAATGAACAGTTTGAGCTGGCTCCAAAGCAAGATCAGTTCTTTCTGCTCTACAACTGCAACCCTTCGTTTGTCGATTCTTTTCCAAAGTACAAGATTGGTTGTAATAACACTTCGGTTCTTGCTCTGCCTGGGCAGATATATCCGAAATTTGGACCTCTTGTGGAGGTTGAAAAGTGTGGATCGACTGAGGTGGCGGTGGTGCATGGTGGAGGGTATGGGAATGATGAGGCGGCGGGAATGAAGGAAGTGTTGGGAAGAGGGTTTGAGATGAAATGGCTGGCTGCTGACTGCGGCCGCTGCCAGGGGAGTGGAGGGCTATGTGGGTTTAACTACACCACCCGCCATTTTAGGTGCCTCTGCCCCAATAGGACCCATTCTGTGAGCTGCAAGAAAGATGACGAAGGTTAGTCTCTCTCTCTCTGTTCACTCTTTTTTTCTCTCTTTTTTACATGAAATATGATTGTTAGATAATTACCACGCAGCATACATGATTTAGGCTAGTTCATTAACACAATATGTCGCTTTGTTACACTTGAATTCAAATTCACTTTGTAGATTAGAGTAGTTTAGAATATCGTTTAATTTCAAAACGAAGATTTCTGGTACGGGATCATTGTCCCACTTGCCCAACTCTCCTGTGCAAATAGTTGAAAAATCGCATCCAGTCTAACTCCTACCATACATTAGATTTCAAAGGAAAAAAGGGCGGCTGCTGGCTGGAGGGCTGAATATAGCCACCTCTAATCAAATATTAACGAAGAAGATCGTCCGTAAAGTCAAATCTGAACCTCTACATCGTCACGATTTAACGTGAAAAATATCCTTCACGATTACTTGTGGTGAAAACTATATGAGATGCAAACAATAGGTATGCCCCCAAATTAAAAATGCTTTCTTCATGGGATATTTGTTAGCTCTAAGTAATTCTTTGGTCGCATAATCTTCCAGGATAAGATAATTTATTAGGGTTTTAGAACCAGGTTGTTGATTACTACTCAGTCTGCAAGTCAACATAAACTTCGATTCATGAACAATGTCTTAATTCACGAACAAGTTAATAACGACATCATTATGTGTAAACAAAAAGGATTAACATAATGAAATGAGAACGCTAAGATGATGGTATTCCGAACCAATAGTACCATATCATGCATAAAACGTAAAATACATAGTGTCGTGTTGTTGGTCTAGGATGCTACGGTAAAAGGATGTAAGTAAATCCTAACAAGTTTAGACGCTCCAGTTGTAGTCACATTGAATAGCAATCCAACTAGAAATCTGCTGGTTGTCGGTAATTTCTTTCCTCAACAGCCATTGTTGACTGAAACCTGCCACTCTGCCAGTTATTTGTTGCCACTGCCTCTATCGTTGGAGATGATCAGTCTTCATCTTAATCCCACCCTCCAGAACATGAAAAATCATATTATCATCATTGTTCTGGAGACAAAATGTACCCAATAAACGCGTGGAAGCCGCATTAAGTTGGGCCAACTAGTGTGAATTGTGGTTGCACTTTCAGCCCATAAATTTTGGCCACGGAGGTCGCTAGAGTCGTAGAGCATTGCATTTTGTGAGTGCAACACTTGACCCAACGTGCGCACTGTGCATTCTGATGCTGCACCAGTAGTCCAATACTACTGGATTGTCAAGTCGGACATGACTCGGCCGAAACAACTAAACCAGTTGTGTTAGTATTAATCGTTTTAGTCTATCAAGCTTATGCTATGTATAAGCTATGCCTTGATTCAGTAAAATCAACCTAAGGCACGCAAGCACTTGTAGTTCACGATTTTGAACTGAAGCTCTCGTTTGGTGGCTAAGATTGGATTGGTTAATTACAATTCCATGTATATTCAATAAAGGGATGGACGTCAATTTTCAAATTGCATCCAAGTTGATAGTAGAAGTTGGATTTTTTTTTTATTGAAATGATAGTGGATTTCATTGAATGGGTATTGTAGTAAAAGGGCGGCAATAGCTAACTTAATGTGAATTACAGTCCTCAAACATTAAATTTAGAATAAAGATCGGAGAGAGTCCAACCAAGCACAAGGGGATTTGACGTATGACCGTACCGAGCAAGGCGATGGGCTACTTCGTTAGCTTGGCGGCAGACTTGTGTACATCTAACCTTAGAGCAACTCCATTGGTGCTCGAACTGCCCAGTATGTGGGTTGAATATCCCCCAACCTAAAACATTCATCTTCACTGGTCCAAACTCATTGAGGCAATTGGAGCATGGGTAGCAACTAGTTGGGCTTCCCTGCCAATTCAAGCCCGGGCTGCGTCTGCAGGCAGTGGCCTACGTCATAGATGATGTCATGCAGTTGACAGAATGGTTCCACCCACCAAGCCAAGGGCCTCGCCCTCTGTCGTTGGATTTATATCCGTCTTCTCATCTAGACCGTTGGATTTTCAACATTAAACAAATGAAAATTATAGGTTGTGTCACGTGGCACAATCTGTTGTATCTGATTTTTTTTTTATAAAAAAAATGGAAATCAACAACTATAATTAATCCAGAGGTAGAAAAAATTAACAAAAAATTCCAAAAGAATTGCAAATCTTTGTATTTAAAATTCAATCGCAAGTGGTCATTTATTACAGTGGTGGAAAGAAGTTGAGTTATTGCATGACGGCGTGACTTCGAATCTTGTTGGTTGCTAACCTAACATATAATCTAACAAAATCTATCGTTTGAAAAAAAAAAACATATAATCTAACAAAATCTATCGTTTGAAAAAAAAATATATATTTTATTTTATTTTAATAAGCGATATTATCTACAGTAAGGGAGATGAAATAGGTTTAGCTTCACAATGGATTAACAATAATGTGCTTTAAATTCGCCTTTGCCGAGAATCAAACGTAAGACATCTCATTTACAAATAAAAATAAAAAGAAACATAGTTAGACTGCGGTTAAATATGGAGTTTTACTGTTTTAGTTGAAAATTTACGTTTGTGAACAGTAAACGGTGGATTTGCTCTTAGTGATCAATGGAAGCTACCATTTCATATCCTCCACAAGTTAGTGATCAATGGAAGCTACCATTTCATATCCTCCACAAGTTAGTCTGATTTTTTTTAAAAAAAAATTGGAAATCAACAACTATAATTAATCCAGAGGTAGAAAAAATTAACAAAAAATTCCAAAAGAATTGCAAATCTTTGTATTTAAAATTCAATCGTAAGTGGTCATTTATTACAGTGATGGAAAGAAGTTGAGTCATTGTATGACGGTGTGACTTCGAATCTTGTTGGTTGTTAACCTAACATATAATCTAACTAAATCTATCGTATGAAAAAAAAAAATCTAACAAAATCTATCGTTTGAAATTTTTTATTTTTTTTATTTTAACAAACTATATTATCTAGAGTAAGGGAGATAAAATAGGTTTAGCCTCATAATGGATTAACAATAATGTACTTCAAATTCGCCTTTGGCGAGAATCAAACGTAAGACATCTCACTTATAAATAAAAAAGAACATCATTAGACTGTAGTTAAATATGGAGTTTTACTGTTTTAGTTGAAAATTTACGTTTGTGAACAGTAAACGGTGGATTTGCTCTTAGTGATCAATGGAAGCTACCATTTCATATCCTCCACAAGTTAGTCCAATTGGAGATGAACCGGGCAGAGGAAATTCAAAGCCCCAATAATCCAAAAATCAGTCTGCTTTAAAGCTAAAATCCTGCCGTTGATTCCTTTCTAAGTTCCGCTAATCCATGTTCGTACGAAGGCAAGGATAAAACTTACGATCAGAATCTCCCTCTATCGAACAACCAACAAAACCCATCACAATCGCCGGAAACCAGAATCTCCCTATATCGAAGAAATCACAGGCAAGAGACTAAGACGCATGAAGACTCAACGCGCTTTTCGGATTCAACACTCTTGAAGAATGGATGAAAGACAGAGTAGATAACAAAACCCAGAAAGTCGTGGTTGCTTCCGTAGCCAGTGCGCCAACCATCAAGACTAACACCACAAGTCTTCGGGAAGGTATTATGGATACGTTTTTCTCTCTTGTCCCGTCTCCAACTTACACCATCAAGACCGCTAAAGAAAACGACAGCCACAAACGACCAAATTTGTCATGATGTTTTACTAAATTAAATTCCAACGTCAGAACTAGGATATACTTTTCAGCTATGGATCCATTCAGCGTTCACACGAATAAGTAGACCCGAAAGCCAGACGGGCCGGACACGAAAGATCAATCACGTTTCACGGAGCTACGAGTGAACACTGAACAGTCGATTCTTTCCGTAATATGTGTGGTTCAGAGGAGTTTCGAGGATTTTTGAATAGTATCATCGTGACGAGAATGGTTGAAGAGTCGAGGGGTCAAAGTCTTTCTGGTGCTGGTCATTGGGGAAGTTGGGAAGGAAACTCCCTAATAGGCCACGGAAGTCTTTAAGCCGACCAATCAAACTGTGTATCCAGCAACTTTTTTACATGGTTAGTTTCCACAAGTCTTCCGTCTCCTAATTTCCAAGTCAACTGGCGTGTTAAACAGCCAATTTCCTTAATATATTGCAAACAAAGAATTCTGAACCTCTAAACAATTCAACACTCTTGTTCTGAAGAGGAGGAGTAGATTTTGTTATTGTTATTCCTTTACGGCGCTTTCTTCTTGTTGATCAGCTGGGAATCTTCGGATGGCTCCGGTGGCTTTGTTTATTCTAGCCGTTCTTGCTAACCTTGTGGTTCTGCAATCTGCTGAAAATTCAGAAGCGGAACCCTCCAAACGTTGTCCAGGCCGCTCCTGCCATGGCACAGCAGTCCCCATCAGCTTCCCCTTCAAAAGCACGGAAGATCCTCCTGAATGCGGATTGTTCACAGTCAATTGTTCAGTAGCCGGTCAGCCAAAAGTCCAATTGAAAGAGGGAGGATACTGGCATGAATTCCAAGGCTATTTATTTTCACCTTCGATTTCTAGCAGTAAGATTTTTATCAGAGACAGAGACCTTGCCGGCCGCTTAGAAAAGGATACCTGCGATGATAGAGTTTTCGAAGACTTGAGTCTTCCCATCGTTTCTTCAATCCCTGAAGTATCATTATCCACACCCAATCTTACCCTTCTCAAATGCAACAACATCTTTAAAACAAATTGTTATCCACAACCTAAGGATACCTGCAGAAATGCTTACCATACTTATATCAATTCATCTAAGTGTAATTTACCTAACCCTCCGCCACCAAGTTGTAAAACCATTCAGGTGCCCATGCGTCCGTCGCAACCCAACATTTACTCTTCATTGACAGCTGAGTTTTCACTCGAAGTGTCAGCACCAGAATGTTATCAATGTATTGAAAGCAAAGGTGAATGCCTGGTTCTAGAGGAAAAATTTAAATGCGCCAAAGGTATATACATTTACTTGACCTTTCTTTCTTTCTCTGATGTGCGATAATCCGATTCCTTTCTTCAAAGGATATAACTCTTAGAAACAGCAAACAGTTTATTGAAACACACAAGTATTAAATGATTGTTATGTATGCATTAGCCTCCTTTTTTTTTGAATGGTAACATTATTTATGCCACTTTCATCTTCTGAGATTTAGCTAACAGCAGTTTTCTTTGCAATTCATGTTGCAGGGGATAAGCAGTTGAATTTGAAGCTAGGACTAGGTAAGATTGATATCTCTGCATTTAAATATATAATTGATATGGATACTCATCTAGGTCAAGCGTTAGAACCAAAGGACGGAAACCAATCATTCCCTAATGCCTCTGGATTAAATTTTCTAAGAATCATGGAATGAGCAAGCGTTTAAACACGTTGGCAAAGTCAATTGTTTGCTCTCCGTAACATACCTTCGATCAAATTTAACTCTCCCTTAAGCACCCCCAGTATAAACTACATTTTAACTGTCTCGCTCACTTGTATTCTGTAGGAATTGGCCTTGGATTTCCAGCACTTCTCGCAATATGCGGGTTTCTTCTGTTGCTTTACAAGAAAAAACGCTCTTCACTCTTCCTCTCAAGGAACATTTCTTCTCAGCCATACACAAATTCCGACATAGAAGGGGGCGGCGCCTACTGTGGTGTCCCGGTCTTCAGCTACAGTGAACTCGATGAGGCCACGAACCACTTTGATAGCGAAAACGAACTTGGAGATGGAGGTTTTGGAACTGTCTACTATGGTAAGAGCTAATCTTCTATGTATGTGTTAATTTCCGAAAAAATGAAAGAAATCATTTACATTAGGCAAGTAAAGAGGAAGTTAAGTTGCATAGTGTCTGCAGCAGCTTACTCTTTGATCAATCCGATATAGGAAAACTCAAAGATGGTCGGGAAGTTGCAGTCAAGCGCTTATATGAGCACAATTACAAACGCGTTGAACAGTTCCTAAATGAAATTGAAATCCTCACCCGTCTGCGCCACAGAAACTTAGTCACCCTTTATGGCTGCACCTCACGCCGCAGCCGTGGACTCCTCCTTGTCTACGAATACATTTCCAATGGAACCGTTGCTGATCATCTCCACGGAGACAGAGCAGACCCTGGCTCGCTCACTTGGCCTATACGTATGAGCATCGCCATAGAAACCGCCAACGCATTGTCCTACCTCCATGCTTCTGAAATTGTACATCGCGATGTGAAGACTAATAACATTCTGCTCGATGACAATTTCTGCGTTAAAGTTGCAGATTTTGGGCTCTCCCGGCTCTTCCCCTTTGATGTCACGCATGTCTCAACCGCTCCACAAGGGACACCGGGTTACGTTGATCCAGAGTATCACGAGTGTTACCAGCTAACTAGCAAGAGTGACGTTTATAGTTTTGGAGTTGTTCTCATCGAGCTCATATCATCGCTTCCGGCAGTTGATATAATGAGGCACAGGCACGAAATTAATCTGGCTAACTTAGCCATAAGCAAAATTCAGAAAGGTTTGTTCAACGAGTTGGTAGATCAACGTCTCGGGTTCGAATCCGATGGTGAAGTTAGAAGGATGATCATTGCAGTTGCAGAGTTGGCTTTTCAATGCTTGCAGCAGGACAACAATGTGAGGCCTACCATGAATGAGGTTTTGGAGGCTTTGAAAATGATCGAAAGCGGGAGTTATGTCCCTGAGAATTTAAAGCCGGAACTGGACAGTGAGAGTGTGAAAACGAGTGTACAGCCGCCAGCTTCGCCAGATGGTGATGAGATCGGGCTGTTGAACATGAGACCTCCGCATTCGCCGGTTTCCGTCACGCAAAAATGGCCTAGCACTAGGTCTACTTCACCTAATGCTAGTGCGTGACAGTTCTTTTTTGTGTGTGTTACATTTCAGTATAAAGAACATATATGAATGCATTTCAGATTTGATTAGGTGGGTGGAGGTTTATTTGCCACTCATCTCCTAGCTTTGTTAAAACGGTGAACTCAAGCCAATAATGCCCCCCCGTTTTGCAAGGGTCGAGAGGGAAGAACATTTATCGTACACAACTTTAACCTTCCCTCGCAAAGAGGCTGTTTCTACGATTCGAGCTCGTGACGTTTCGAACACAAAAGAGCAACATTTTCGTTGTACCAAGGCTCGCCATCATTGAAAAACACATCTAATTAGTACTGCTAGGTAAAAGCTTGAGGGATTTGTACATATTATATGGAGACATTGTTATTAATATTTTACACATATAGTTTTAATCCTGTATCGTTTTGGCTCTTCATACTTGTTTGATGTCTCTGTCTTTTTTCTTTTATTATTTTCTGCTTCTTCTGATATTGTTTATTAACCAAGTTTGGATTGTATGACATGATCAAACACCTCCTTTACAGGAAAATAAAACCGACATAAACGACAAAAGGTTTTACATTTATAGAATTCTAAATTACTCTAATTTATTTAAAAAGAGTTCAAACTTGAGTATTCTGGCCTATACTATGTCTGTAACCATGTTAAAATATTAGAACCACTATTTCATCAATCATTTATAATAAAATAACACTTCTAAAATCGGATTTTTCAGATTTTTTTTTTTTGGAAAACTTTTCAGATGTTTGTTTGGTAAAAAGGAATCACATTGTGGTACTGACAACATTGTTGTTCTTGTTCAAGAACCTAGTGTGCAGGCTACAGCCTATATATATCGCTGACATGTATTTTAATTTTCTTATATGATAAAGTTTGTGAGTAATATAGTTACAATGTCTTTACCAATAGACCAAGATTCTTTTTTAAGATTAGAAGGCTCAGCCTTCTGAGCAAATCACATAAACCATTGATTTTTCATCTAACGGCTATAAATGAGAAATTTTTTTTTAAATTATAATAATTATAATTGTTAAATTAAAAATCAATGATCCGTATGATTTGCTCAAAAGACTCAACTTCTTAAGCTGAGAAGAGGACCCTGATCCTTTACCAATCTCCTATTGTCTGACCTTTCAATCTTCTTCAGTCAAAGTATGAGGTGGTGTCGCCTCTTTTTCAGAACCCTATGTAGAATTTCAGATTTTGGATTCAGCACCTTTGGAATTTCACTTGGAAAAGGCACCCACTTTCTCTCTCTTTTTTGAATTTGTGAAAAAAGAGAAAATTACCAATCATTATTTGGTCTAATTTATTATTGAGAGATTTTTTTACTGTATCAGAAACGTCAGATTATATATTATTATATAATTAAAAGAAAGTTTATTATTCAAATGTTTACCTAATTGTGTAATGATATGTGTTGTATCGTCATGTGTTTTGAATAGAAAAATTTATCTAATTTATTGAGAAAAATACTAATGAAACCATCCCTAAATTTATTGAGAAAAATTTAACATAATATTTTATAATTTTAGTATGAAATTAATGTTAAACGTTTTAGAGATGCCATAAAGAGTCTCATCTAAAATTAGAGAGTGTACTTAGCATTAATAAAAAAAGTGTGTATATAAAAGAGGCATCCACTTCCCAACATATCCTTTTCTCCATTTCACAAGCAATCAATTGTGTCTCAGTCTCTCCCCTGCAATCATTCTCCAATTTAAATTCAAATATTCACCCCAAAATTTACATGTATAAATTGAGAGAGAGGAATGGGAGTTAGCAGCAGCAACAGACCTCAAATCCAGAAGATGGGGACTTTACAGAAATTCAAGCTCCTCGCCACGCAGTGCGGCGTGGCCCAGAGCCCGACGCGAAGCCCGCGGACGAGCCCGTTGATCCAGTTCCGCCGCCGCAAACCCACCTTGCTGATGCTCCTGACCCGGAGCAGCAGTCGCCGCAGTGACCCGCCGGTTCCGATGCCGCTACCGGAGAATATTCCGCCCCAGAGGAACAGTCTGAAGGACCTGTTCGTGTCGTCGCCGCCATTTGAGTTGAACGACAGGGGGAAGGCGGAGAGTGAGAGAGATAAGCGGGCAGAGTTGGGTAGTTTGTTGGTAGGTAAAGAAATTGGTGGAGTTGGACCGGGCTCCCCTAGGCCGGCCTGGACCGGTTTTCGTTACAAGTCGTTACTGAGAAGGGCTTGGCGCCCTGTGCTCGTCACTATTCCCGAGTAAATTAATTAAATAATTTAATCTTCATAAAATATTATTAGAGTATTTTTTGTATGTTATGTGATCGGCCATCTCTCATGATATACCGATACAAGTCGATCTTGTATTGCATTGTATAATTCGGCATTGGACTTGTAGTTACAAGCAGTATCATACATTCGACTTTCTGATTTCGTTTCAATTCTCCTTTTTTTGGTGTCATTATCGTTTGTATTAAAAAATATTTGAACTTGTGAGAAACTAGAACCTCTCGCAATATAGGCAAAAGAAATAGAGCTATTTGAATAGAAACAACTTCCGAAATGAAGAGGTCGTAACAAGAATTGGAGGGATCCACCGAAGACGATCCTTCCCTTGTTTCGAAAGAACAAGAGGTTCGGGACAAAATCGATGAAATTTCATTCATTCGTGACCATGCACGCCATTACCATTATTTCGAGGTTCTTTTCTAAAGTTAAAGTGGCTAAAGAGGCCCAGGACCATGAATGTTGGGAGAACAGTTTACACTACACATGCTAAAGCAACTCTTCCCTTTGGGAAAAAGAAAAGGGCTCGATGATTTCGAAGGGACTTTTTTCATCTATTTTGTTATTTAATTCAATTATTACAGAAAAATTTCTTGCAATCAAAAGGTAAATTCATAAAAAGGGTGGAGTCCTTCCATGTCTTGCCGCTAGCGGCTCTTTGGTTCCAAGAGGAATTGGAGTCTGATTTGTTTGGGCTTGTGATTGCCGCAACGCAGAGTCGTTCCCCTCTCTCTCGGTACCTCCATTTCCCTGCTGAGGTTCGGCATGGCCAACAGACTTAGGGTGGCCTTCTGAATGCTTGTTTTCTGGAAGTACAACCCTCCGCAAGAACCTATCTATCATCTCGTAACTGGTAAATGTAATAACGGCAGAAGGAGTGGTTCTTATTAGATTAGTAGCACAACCATTATAGAATCCACGAAGGCCTTCCTTTTGGAACACCTTCTTTATGCAGTCAATTACTCCTGCATACTGGGTTCCAATGTGTCTGGCCTGCCCTTGCTCTTGCAGCCTCGAGCGCACAACCTGGAGATAATTGATTCAGTCAGGACGACAAAATAAAATATGAGATAGTTAGAGAGAGCAGTCATCCAAGCCCCAGTCTGTTTACTGAGAAGTCCAGCTGAACATACCTCGTGAGGGTATGTTATTACAGAAGCGATTACTTTTGATACTGATGAGGCAAAGGCAACCCTACTAGGGTGTAACTTATCAACTGTTGTATTATCTGAAAAGTTAAATTTATGGGGTCAGATATAACTAATTAATTAAAAAACACTGAATTTTCAAGTTAAACAGTTCATCAAAGAAGTAAACAAATAACATTTACCCCTTTTTGCCATGAAAGACTTTATCTTTTCATAAGCAGGAAATTGAATTGCAACATGACTTACTCCAGCCAAAGAAGGCAGGATCCCACTGTTTGAAACCACACATGCAACCAAAAAGGTATCATTAAGGGAAACTACGCGAATAAATTTTATTCTAATCAATGGAGCGGACTTCCTTCACTGAATGGAAAAAAAATATTTTGATTAGTAGTAAAGCAACATCAAATATAAAATTCCCAGTTTAGTGTCATATCCACATAATGCAACTTGGAAAGAAAAATGACCTATATAAACCTCGTAAGCCTTCCTCGGTTGTAATCCTTGAGAAAGCAGATCTCATGCTTTTGTAAGGAATCACACCAGGCCTCATTCCTTGTGTCTAAATGAAGATGATCAAGAAGAATATATCAATGTACAAAAATGACAAAATGTTCAAACTAGCAAAATTAACCAGTGCAAAGTCCTTGAATTTCTAATCCATGACGGTTGAGTTTAATCCAGAAGCTGACATGTAATTATGTGGAAGAGATTCATTAGCCTAGTTAGACATTAGTTAAGCATCAACCCTAGAATAAAATATGCCCGGAACCATAAGCACTAAAGGACCATCTCTAGCAAATATGCGTCTGCATAGTTGAACTATTACTATCTTTTATTCCCAATTTTTCATAGTTTACTCTCCTGACATCTCAAGTCGAGGACATGATAATTACAGAGAGTTTGTGTCGCTTCCAAAAAAAAAAAAAAAAACAACAACAATGTTTCCAGTCCCAGTCCAACAGAATGCCACAAAATAACAGTCATTGTGAATGGCTCCGAGCTATCCAATGTGCTACAGAAAGCAATAAAATGAAAATCTTAAATGAATTACAAACAATAATACAGTAAACTTACTTGAAGTCTGGTCTTAACAACCCACAATGGATTTGTTGAAATGGCTGTGGCTGCCCCGGCACCAGCAGCAGCAATCATATTTTCACCGATTGTGAGTTCTCCGCTGCCATGAACTACAGAATGACCATAGTGAATGTTTACCATAGTGAATGTTTAAAAACTAACTGAATACTATTATATATTACCCAATGCTCTAAAGTAAACAAAGAATATGGGAATACTATGCATTTCACAAGAAATAATTAGAGACAAACACAAACTTTTAAGTAAGCCACATTTGGAAAAACCAACCATGAGAGTGGAGTAGGCCTTTGAGTTGCTCATAAACTGTGAAGTACACCTACATACGAACAGAGTACATATGGCACCAGGAAAATTATACAAGCACACAGGAAAAAAAGTTCCATGTCATCTGACCAAGGGCCCCAAAATCTTTGTGAACTCAAGTTTCTACAAGATAAGGGCTCCCAAAGATATGATTCACAATATAAGGCAACAAAAGTAATACTCACTGCCCAATTTGGAAGTAGCGCTAGAATTGTAGGCGAAAGGCCCCGGTACATCCCCTTCACACCTTCCGTCTTTAATATTTTCTGTAGGCTCGTGACAATGATACTACCTGATCATAGGCCAAAAGGAAAACAAAGAAGAACAATCATACTGATATGTATAAGTATGAAACATTTATACTACAAACAAATCGACTGGAAATTATCCTCGAAATGGCGATGAGCCAAATAAAAACTTTAATAAGACAAACACAAAGCCACCTCAAGCCAGTTCACCAAATAACAAGAAATGTGGCATACATCTGGTCAATGCATATTTTCTCATATATACGAACACACTAGAGTTCACAAAACTGAAGCTTTAATCCGACTACGATTCATTTCCCCCTAAACATGTGCTCCCATGGTCCCAGTGAATCTAATATCGTCAAAAATCGATACTTGCAATCGATAAGTTCCTCAAAATAAATAAAAACACAGAATTGCATCCCAGTATTGATAAACAAACCATAATTTGTTCAAGGGAATAATAAAGCTTCGACTCGGAAAATTGAAGAATACCTCTTTGACCAGAAGGCATGCCATGGACCTGCAGCCTAGTCTTGATGACATCCAAGGGGCATACAAACGTAGCCGCCATAGCACCTGCAAAGCTTACGGTTCAATCAATTTGCAATAAATTCATCAGATTTGCAAATGCGTGCCCAAATGAACGAAACCCTAGAAATGGGAATCGCAGAAGAGCAAAGGAGGAAGATAACTAACCAGCGGAGGCGCCAGCACCGGCGTGGCAGATGACATCTCTGATAGATTGGCGATCGGAATGTTCGGCCACAACACCCATCGTCGTCGAAGCCCTCTCTAGCCGCTCTCTAGAGATGCTTCTTCAAACTCAAATCAACGGTAATTTTCATGGCCAGTCGCCGTGTGTGTACGTATATATACTGATTTGATAGAGGGGGAGAGATTTGGGGCCGGAAGTTCTAAGGACTGTTGAGAGTCAGTATTCTGAAGCTACGACGCCGTCGTCGTCGCCGCCTGACTTGTTTGAAGGGGGTTAAGTGTTGAAAAATGACGTGTCAGGTACGCAGAGCTCAGCTTCGGATTTGGAATTTGGAAAAGGTAAATGACCCGGAGACGGAATCCGTCGAGGAAAGGAAACTAGAAAACTAGCAAAACGGCTATTTTCTTTCTCGGATAGGTAAATTTCTGGCCAATAGTATAAGTGGGTGGGTGCATGTTATCATCGATTATTTAGATCAAATTTTGTAAATAACAATATAGCGTGGTTATTAATAATTGAATTATTATTTATATTGATGTATCTCATGGTTTGAAAATTTGGTCTAAAAAATTGATTTACCTAACATTACTCTTTAATTAAATTCAATTTCTATTTAATAGGCATGAATGTGATACACATTTTATGACCACTCAACCGTCATCACTACAGTTTGATAGTATTTCTCTAGTGAATTTTAAGTTTGGTTGTTAATTGAGTACGTGAGATCAAATTATTATAGATAATTCACTGTTTGGTGTAAGTTAAATCGTAGTATTAAAAAAAAAAGTATATTTCATGAATTTCTTCAACTGGTACTCTAATTTAATCTATATGCATATAAAGAGATTATTTTTGTTAGCTTATGATATTTTATGACTATTATAAGGGGAACTTTAACTAAAAGCTCTCAGTATTGTTCACTTTAACGAAAAACCACATTTTTACATTAAAAAGTCAATCATGATACTATTCACTTTACCTTTTATTTTGTCTTTATTGTTAAAACTCAAAGTTTTCAAGCCCTTTTCATTAGTTTTCCTTATTATAACCCTTAAATGTCAAAGAGTTTAAAATTTTAATTTAAAATCAAGGGCATTAATGTAATTCAATTCCAATTTTAGATTCCCCTCACATTTCCCTACATATGCATAGCATTTGTAGAGTTTGCTAGTGTAAATTTATGAAAACAAAATTTCGATTTCAAGTACATGAATGTATATATTTTTTTGCCCGACGTAAAGTTTACATTACTTTAACCAACTTAACTTCACCTAAATTTGTCCTTAGTTTTAAAATTTGTGATATGAACGACAAATATGCAAAAGTTTGTTTTGTTTTTATATGCTGAGGTAGCCAATGATGGATTTCATAGCTTGACAAATTCTTGTGTACTGATATTGACCTGCTTTACAAGGAGAGAGTGTTCAATTAGAAATTTTTCAATTTGCTGAAAATCGGACCGAATACATAAAGTGTTATAATACAAATAATTG